TCTCAGGTCGACTGTGTCTAAGGTTATTCCCTAGAGCATATAAAGTATACTCTATTTACCAATATACCTCTAACCAAATTCTCTCAGATTTATCATAAACACAGCTGCTTGAAGGTAAACCTTTCGAAGGCATTCACGCAAGCTTATACTGGGGATTTCGGAAATCACATTTCTATTTTTAAGTACATATATTGGAAATATTTTCCTTAACTTTTTATATATATTTTTTTTAATTATAAAATTTGAAATAATTATACTTAATAATAATATATAAATAAAAGGAATTAAAAAAGAATCACAGTTTTCAATATTTTGGTCACAGTTTATAAATTTATTGTGAGGACTTTAGTGAGGCTGAGGATACCCCAGCAAATAACAACGACCTTGAGGTAATAAAATAACTTAATAAATAAATCTGTACCGATTGCATAGCATATATTGCTATTCGTGTTTCAGTAATTAATATTTTTATTGGAAATAATTCTATTAATTGCAGTTAATGAAGCAGCTTAAACGGACTTTAAGGTGAACTTTTCCACACAGTTTTTAAGTTATTTTATGTGAATTAAAGAATATAGTCATCATCATCATCATCAGCGTTACAGCTCGGGGTGAGCTTTAGCTGCATCAACCAGCTTTCTCCATTCTGCTTTGCATGATGTTTTAGATCTCCAGCTTTGTATACCCATTTTCCTGATGTCTTCAGTCACGTTGTCGAGCCATCTTATACGTGGTCTACCTCTGCTGCGGTCATTATACGGCGTGAAATGGGGTATTCGCTTTTGTGGTCTATCGTCCGGCATTCTCATGACGTGTCCTAACCATCTCAAGCGTTGCGACTTTGCGAACTTCACCACATCTTCACCATCACAAAGTTGTAGTAGTTCAGCATTCGTACGCCGACGAAATTCTTCTTGATTCAGGCGGATGGGACCATAAATCTTTCTCAGCACCTTTCTTTCGAATGTTCTAATTTGGTTTTCATCTGCTGTCGTTAGAGTCCACGTTTCGGCCCCATAGCATAATACCGGGCGGACGATTGCCTTGTAAGCGTGTAGTTTGGCACTTCTGGTCACGATTTTAGATTTGAAGATTTTCGCGTGTCCGTAATAACTTCTGTTTGCTGCTACAATTCTGTCTTGTATACTAACACTGATTTCATTGTTTTTATTAATAAGGACACCCAAGTATTTGGCGCTTTCAACTTCTTCAAACGTAAACTCACTAACTTGAAAGGGCTCTAAAATTCGGCTGTGCATGTTTCTTCCAACCCTCATATATTTTGTTTTGTTCTCATTAATGTTTAGCCCAACGATCTTAGCTCTGAGTTGTAAGTCGATGAACTTTTCTTTCATATAGTGAAGTGATCTGCTTAAGATGGCTATGTCATCTGCGTAGGCAATAGTCAGTAATGTTTTGTTGAATATGTTCCCTGTTGCCACCAGTGACTTAATAGCATCGTAAAGGACTAGGTTGAAAATGGTAGTTGAAAGCGAGTCACCTTGCTTCACTCCACTTTTAATTTCAAAGGCATCTGTTAGACTGTCTTGCACTATCACTTTTCCCGTCGTATTGCACAGTGTAATCATTATTAGTTTTATGAGCTTCTGATTGATCCCGAGTGATTGTAGAGCTTCCTGTATCATTTTTCTATCGATGCTGTCAAATGCTTGTTTGAAGTCGATGAAAAGGATATGCACTACTGCATTGAACTCATAACTCATTTCCAAGTTCTGTTTAAGCAGGAATATTTGATCGGTCGTTGAACGATTCGGTCTGAAGCCCCCTTGGTATTCACCTAAGATTTCCTCCGCTGCATTCTTTCTTTGTAACATGAGCCTAACAACGTTATGCCTCGGTAGTTATTACAATCTAGTTTGTCACCTTTTTTGTGCAGTGGTACTACTACGCCAGTGAGCCACGCTTCCGGCAGCCTTTCTTCAGCCCAGACACGCTTGATTAATGTAAACAGCTCTATTTTTGCGCTTTCTCCGCAATGTTTAATGAGCTCTGCTGATATACTATCTTCACCGGGTGATTTTCCGTTTTTCATTTGCTTTATGGCTTCTGTAAATTCCTCAAGGCTGGGTTCAGGTTCTTGTCCTGTACTTGTAGCTAAGTCTGTTAAGGATAGGTTATTACTTTCCGAACCAATGTTGAAAAGTTCTTGAAAATGTTCCTGCCATCTTTTGATAATGCCCTCTTTTTCTACTAGTAGTTCCCCATCTTTGTCTTTACACATGTTGATTCGCGCTTGAAAACCCTTTGTTTGATGCTTGATGTTGTGGAAGAAACCTTTAGCATTTCGATCTGCAAAATCTCTATTGATGTCTAGGATTTCTCTATTGACGGCTTCTTTTTTTTTTCTTTTGCATATTATATTTGCTATTTTTCGTTTGTTTTTGTAGTTGCTTTGATTAGTAATGCTGTTGTCATTTAACATTTGCTCCCTGGCTACATTCTTAGCTTCCACTGCGACTGCACAGTCGTTATCAAACCAATTGTTGCGTCTACGATTTCTTTTCACACCAACGGTTTCTTCTGCTGCTTTTGTGATTGAATTTGCAAAAACTTTCCAATGCTCGTTTATATTGGTATAGTTCGTGATATGTCTAAGTGATTCGTTTACTCTCTGCTCATATTGTTGGACCGTTTCGCTATCATGTAACTTGTCAACGTCCCATTTTTTCCTTCTAAATCCGTAATTTCTACGTACGCCCTTTAGACTTTGTCTTACTGTGGCTTTTACCAGAAAATGGTCGCTATCGACATTCGCACTTCTACAGCTACGAACATCAAGGATAAACGATTTCTTAATATGGTCTATAAGAACATGATCTATTTGGTTGGCTGTTGTTGAACCTGGTAGCTGCCATGTCCCCTTATGTATGTTTTTGTGTGGAAAATGCGTGCTGCTAATGTACATATGTCTATAGAATATAGTATGTCTTATATAAAGGTATTACATTATCTGAGCTCTCATTGTAACGAAACAGATTCGTCGTTTAATTTTGCTGAGATATCACTCAGTCCCGGTCCAGGTCGTTGCAATAAACTTGTTTTATTGACTAGTTCGCAAGCTAGTAAAAGACCAAGGAGAAAGTAAAGACGTTGTTTATTTCAATTCAAAAATAAATATCTTTATTATAAAATTTATAATACTAGGTAGAAAAAGAATTCTAGTCTATGTTGTTATAAATCCAAGCGGTTACAATAAGTTGTAACCAATGGCATCAAAATGCCGGCGACGTTATACTCTATGATAAAAAATTCTAACCTATGGCATCAAAATGACGTGCGGCATTATAAACTATAATAATATAATGATTCTAGCCTATGGCATGAAAATACCATCCGGCGTTATAAACTATAATAATACAATGATTCTAACCTATGGCATCAAAATGCCGTGCGGCGTTATAACTACAATAATAAAATGATTCTAGCCTATAACATCAAAATGTCGTGCGGCGTGATGAACTACTGGTCTACAAATATAGCCTATAGTAGTGCTGTTCACATTATTCGAAGTTTTTAAAAATTCGAAGTTCTTCGAATATTCGAATATTCGCATTTCAACGAAGTCTTCGAAGTTGGAAAAAACTTCGAAGTTTTTGTGAATTTTTGTTCTCGAAGTCTTCGAAGTTTAAATGTAGTGAAAAACTTCGAAGACTTCGAAGACTTCGTAAGCAAAAGGTGAAGTGAGAGCGCAAAATGCAAACAAACGTGCATCACACAAATTATTTGAGGGATGAAAGCATTTGCTTTGTTTGTACGGTTTTATGTTTTTTGTTGTTATTCTATGCAGAAAATTAAAAACATGTTTTTTTGTTTTATTTTATTACATAAAATTTATTTTATTATTAAATATGTATTATAATATATATTATTTTTAAATATGTTATTATTAAATATTTTTTATATTAAATAAAAAATTCACATTTTAAATAACTTATATTTATTATTTATATTTAAAAAATTATATTTATGAAAATTTTTAATATAATATAAAATACATGAAAATTTGATGGAATTTCTTTTATACAATTTTGCTTATACACTAATTTACATTTTATTTAGATACTTCCTTATAATATTATGTATTTCTTTTCCTAGAATAAGGGATTTAAAATTTTTCCATAAACAGTAAAATAACTGTAACTACAACAAAACATTCAAAATTTTATAATGCAAAAATAAATTTGCGCTTGCCTGCGTGATCATCACAGCTCATACAGGTCAAATAATTAGGCATTAATAAGCAAAACTCATTTTTCCATAACTAATTTTCAAGATTTTAATTTGTGATTTTATTGAAAAGGAAAATGAAAACTTTTATAAAATTCCATTACTAATAAAATCCATCAATATCAATATTTTCATATTATTACGTATATATTTTATATTATATTAAAAATTTTCTCAAATATAATTTTTTAAATATATATAATAAATATAAGTTATTTAAAATGTGAATTTTTTATTTAATATAAAAAATATTTAATAATAACATATTTAAAAATAATATATATTATAATACATATTTAATAATAAAATAAATTTTATGTAATAAAATAAAACAAAAAAACATGTTTTTAATTTTCTGCATAGGATAACAACAAAAAACATAAAACCGTACAAACAAAGCAAACGCTTTCATCCCTCAAATAATTTGTGTGATGCACGTTTGTTTGCATTGTGCGCTCTCACTTCACCTTTTGCTTACGAAGTCTTCGAAGTCTTCGAAGTTTTTCACTACATTTAAACTTCGAAGACTTCGAGAACAAAAATTCACAAAAACTTCGAAGTTTTTTTCAACTTCGAAGACTTCGTTTACTATTCGAATATTCGAATTTCTTCGAATACTTCGTAAATTCGAATATGAACAGCACTA